ATCTCGCTGAGGGCTTTCCTGTGAGTCTTTAGCATCTGGCGTGGAGGTTTTGCGATGCAAAGCCCAGTTGATGCAGCGGTGTACTGATTTGGCTGCCTCAAGATCTGCCTCGGAGTAATCCATCCGATCCCAAGAAAAACGCTGAGGGCTTTCCTCTGCAGTTGATGCGAGAGAACCTTGGCCGTGTGAATGGACTGAGACTAGTAGGTTGGAGGCGAGGCCATCGCTACTAGGTTGGGGGGGCCCCCCTTCTGCAAGCAAAATGCCATCCCTAGTAGGTTGGAGGCCATCGCAAGTAGGTTGGAGGCCATCGCTAGTAGGTTGAAGGCCATCGCTAGTAGGTTGGAGGCCATCGCTAGTAGGTTGGAGGCCATCTTTAGTAGGTTGGAAGCCATTGCAATCTCTTTTTTCTATCTCGTCTATCGACCAGTTTTGCCTTACACTTGACGACTGCTCCAAGCTTCAAAGCTTTGTCGCGCTCTCTTGTGACAAGACACAGATTGGTGAGGGCGTCACAAGAAGGCGGTCGGAACTGCTTGTACCTGGTCAAAACTGCATGATCTGTACTTCCCCACTGCAACAGAACAGACACATGAACAAATTGTAAGCGTTTGAATCGGTCAAGCCTCAATTATTTATCTATATAGGAATACCTATTGTAGAACTAGTGATGTGTATCCAATCGCACTCTGCGCTCATTAGAAATCTGAGCCCGGCGCCTGACACGGACTCCTGATTCTCGCGCTTTTGGACCATTGAAGAAGCCTTCCGAATCCAGCCGCATTTTGGAAAAAAAGAACTGCAAGAAAGGACGAGACTCTCTTGATTCTTGGACACTTGAAACATGTTGGACCATGAAGCTCCAGTCTGACACTCTTGATGCTGAAGTCACACCAATCGTTAGCCGCACTTTGCCTTTCTCACGCGGCCAAGTTCTTGGCGGAATATCCAATCGCCCTCCTCATACACACGACCGTGCACCTCCCTCTCATTTAAAAATAAAAAAAGTAATATATATATATATAGATAGATATAGATATAGGTATAGGTATAACTGTAACTGAAATCACCCACACGAAGGGCTCGAGGGGCCGTATAAAGCAACAAATCATCTTGAGAAGCTTGTGCCATTCAAAAGGTGCACAAAGAATTATGCTTCCAGCTAAAGGATACTGTGCTGTGTTCTGGCACAAAATGTCTTCATCGCTATTCGTCTATATTAGTCGTGTCAGGCAACCTATGTCTTGCATTCACAATAATAGCATGTCGTTTGTCGCTCTCCGCAGCACTCCTCTGCCACTCTGTTAGTGGGTTCAGCAATGTAGTGAAGTGAGAGTGGCCCCTGACAAGGGAAAACCTTTGAGCTGGGATATCTCATAGAAGAACCGCTGTGACACAGTCTACTCAACAAAAAAGCATTGTCAAGTCAGATACATTAAAACAAATTTGGGAAGGCTGAGAGCTGAGAGCTTTCGGGCTAAAGCAAATCCAAGAACAAGCGCAACGGTTCACAAATATGCCGCAAATCCTGAAACAAATCCAGCATCGACACCCGCTTGCTTCTGAAAGATTTCAGAAGCGTACCAGAGTCACTTTGGGGTGGAGAAGCGATGCGTTAGGAACCGCCGAAATCCATGCCTTGTCACCAAAGTGAGAACCTCGGGAAGCTGTTGCTGGCAAAGAGTCCTTTGCATCTAGCCTATATGGGATTTGATCTCAAACATTTCAGGGCTTCGGAGAGGCAGAACATTCAGGTCAAACCACAGGTTGTCAAAGCCAAGAGTCACTTCCACAGCGCTGTTCAACCCACCGCTGCCCCACTCCGTGGAAGGGGTTTGCACGTCTGACTTGGCACCAAATAAATCGATGTCCGCAAGTCGAGTGCGCCAAGAGTTCATTTCCGTCCCACTTCCCTGAAAGCCCTTCTTGCCTGATGACATGAGGAGAAACCCTTCACCAGCCTCTGTTTGAGTTCGTGGATTCCCCCCGAAACAGTATGCAAAACCCGAAATGACCACAAAGCCCAGCAACCTCGGATTGCAGGAAGCTTCTGGGGCTGCTTGGCCAACTGACCACCTGGTGACTGGGCATGTTCCAAGAAGTCAGATCAGATTTCGCCCTCGAAAGCAGAAAAATCAGATCTCCAAATCTTGCCGAACACAGATCTCAGATCCACCCAAACCTCGGAATGGCAAAGCTTAGCTGTCGCTCCGGTTCGTGGTGCTCCTACCACGAAGTCCATGAACCTCATGTCCTGACCACCCCTTGTTGTTGGGGATCACCAGCCAAGAAGACATTGCAGCCACCACACTCATGGACTCACAGACTGTGAGGTAGAAGACATCATGCGATTTTGAGACCCAAGAGTTGTTTTTCCTGGAATTCATGAAGGAACCACACCCTAGACGACAGCAATTTGGCCGATCCTCTCACCTCGAGGGTCGGATCTGGCGCGTCTCACGGGTGACCTGGAGCGCCAAGGAGCACTCCAAACACAACCACCACAGTGTTCAGTGTTCTCAGAGAGTTTTGTACGTACGACCCACTATCAAGCGAAACACGGAGTCACCCATGTGGACTTCACACGGTCGGAAGGAGAATCCTACAATGGACCTGTTTCGCATTCATGCTCAAGAAGGAACAACACGACTGGCCCAATGCGGCTGCATTCAAGTGCCGTGCCCAGAACTTTGGCACGGCACACATGGGCACTCGAGTTGTTTTTGTTGTCTTCTCAGTAAAACATGTTTGATGGGTTCTGGAGAGGAAGCAAAAAGCCGATTCCATGCTGCCCGTCGAACCTACTGCTGCGGTTGGCGCTGCTTCTGCAATTTCTCCACCTTGTTCCATCAACAGTCTTCAGATTCAGACTTCAACAGCCAATTGTTCTTTTTTGAGCGTGGAACTGACTTTAAAAGAACAACAGAACATCAATCTAAAGATCTCTGTAAACACATTACAATCTTTTGCCAAAGCTTTACAGGCAATATATATATATATGGGCAGCATATCTATCCATATATAGATATTTATGTATGTATGTATGTATGTATGTATGTATGTATGTGCACATGTAGTGACTTGGGAAGAAGTTGAAGAAGGAAGTGAGGGAAACCATAGTTGCCATTCATAGTGTGACTCTCATTGTCTACGTTAATGGTACTCCCCCCTGGTACTCCTAGGGGGGGCCCTAATCAGCGAGCACCCATATACATATATATATATATATAGCGGCAGCAAATGTTACGCATTTTGGCCATGTTGGTGATTGTATGTGATTGTTGAATCATGGTTTGTCATTCACTGTGCCACACCAGAAGTGAGGGTGAGTAGACACAAGGTTCTACACGCTAGCTGTCTTCATGTGTCACGAAAAGTGTTGTAGCACAGCAGCGCAGTGAAGAAATGCCACTTTGGGGTATTTGACCCGATGTAACTTCACGCAGTCGTCCTTGAAGAACGCACGCAATACGCAGAGCGAGGTATTCCCACCTCCAAACCCTTGCTTCCAGAGCAAGTTTGGCGCTGCCGGAGAACGGCGAGCTACGCCTCTGTGCTGAAACTGGAGCAACAAACAAGTTTGGAAGAACACTCAAAACAAGTCCACCGGAAATTAAATGCATCAATCTCTGCCTGAAATCGCCCGGTGCCAAATCGCAAGCCTCAGAGTAAAAAGCCAAATGATAGTTTTGCACGAGGTGACCTCTGAACTCCGCACCGTCGCTGCGGCCAAACCCTCTTTTCCTCACACATTCGTGCTCTCAGAACACTATAGCCACGGCTGCAAAGCAGGATCGCTGGAAAGCTCTTGAAAGCTATGCACCTGCAAAATCTCAAGCATCCGAAATGGAGAAATCTGGCCTCCTGTGTGTGTGTATGTGTGTATGTATGTATGTATGTATGCATGCGTGCATGTATGTGTGTATGCACGTCCGTAGGTAGGTAGGTAAGTAGGTAGGTTTGTTTGTTTGTATGTATGTATGTATGTACATATGTTGGTATGGTATCGTATGGTATGGTACGGTACGGTACAGTATGGTATGATGGTATTGGCAAGGCATGGCATGGCATGAATGTATAGGTGTATATATATATGTGAAAATATAGGTATCTGTATGTGTAGTGCATGTATTAAATATCATTGCATGAGTTCATGTCATTCAATCTCTACATTACATCTCGCGCCATGCCACATGTTTCTTCGCAACATGTTCGCTTGGACAGCTAGTTCAACGAGGTGGTGGTCTACTTTTGCTGTCGATGGTGGGTGAGCAGTTGCGCGCAACTGTTCTGTCCTAACCTCTTTCTGTTCGCCTCCAGCTTACCACAAGACAAGACTGATGCAGCAGCTGGATGTTGTGTGTGCGCTTCTTTTGATTGCAAAAAAGCATCCCCCAAAAAAAGTATTAAAAGTCATTCTTTTTTTGGCGAAAGTTATTTAAGCAGAACGTAAATTATCGAGGCAGAACGTGCGCGAGCTGCGGCCATCTTCGCAATGGCTTGAAGGCAAAAGGCGCACCTACGGTCCACAAAAGCATGCTTCACGAACGATGCTCAAGCTGGTTTCACATTCTCACTCATGGTACTTTCTTTTCGTGAAGCTTGCTGGACTAACCGCGTGAATGGCTGGTTCAGCCATCCCCTCAACAGCTCTCTCAAGACCTTGGTGGCCTTGAGCGGATGTCCACATAGGTCCTCTTCTCTGATGGCACCGCACAAACTCTTGCAATCCGTCACCTGAAGCTGCAGCAATGAGGTCTTTGGGGGCCTTTTGAGCTCGGTCTAAATGAGGCTGCCGAAGTAGGTGCGGTCGGAAGCCGTGGCCTCAATGTAGATCTGCACACCCAATCCATGGTCTTTGGCGAGGCGGCAGTACTCCAGGGCCCTCGGCGAGGTGTCCGAGCCTTTGTGGGCCTGCGGCTATGTGGGGCGGCGTTTGGCTGGCTAGCGGCTAGTGGCTTACCACTGAAGTGACCCCGTCATTGACCTGAATTCAGCTTGTTCGCTGATGGTCAAAGGTGGGCTGGCAACAATACTTCCTTTTTGCACCTTGCCTCCATCAGTGTTGTCGATGAACTTCGTCTGGGCGACTTGGAGGCGCCCTTGAACCCCAGCGCTTAGCGGCCCCCCTGGAAGAGGTCGAACACCTCTTAAATCTTGTCCTCCCTGTAGGTGATGATCATCAACGTACACAGTTGTCCTCGTCTGTCCTTCACGCCCTTTACAGGGCCCGTGAGGCTGTCCCAGGTTGAAGCCAAGGAGCGATCTAGTGTTGAAGCCCGCGCCATACGTTCTGAGGGCACAGAGGCTCTGAAGGTGGGCCGCCGGGACTGCCAGCAGGTGAATCTCCAGGAAGGTCATCATCAGGTCATCATCAGCTCCTCCGCGGCGCCGCCGCCGTCACGAAGGCGTCATCGGAGAAGACGTTGTAGGTCCAGGTGGATCACCTTGAGGTTGTACAGGACGTGGTCCCATGCGAGTGCCTGGCGTCGGTGTCACCGTGACTGCAGAGTCACAGGTGGCTGCTTCACTTTCAGCCATCTCCTCACTTCATGGTCATAGGGCGGAAGCCCTGCTGTCTTGCGTAGGCCGCCATCTTGTTGAGGTAATCCAAGTTGCCACGGTCGTTGGATGGGTGGATGTTGTCCAGGTTGCAACATCGGAGGCCAAGACGTGGTGTCATCCAACCTGGAGCGCGGTGGCGCTGGGCTCCTTCAAATTCAAAAACCCACTGGAACGCTGAGGCTCTTGGTAGGGCTGCCGCTCAGGGCCAGTCGGCACGAACGAGGTTGTGCCACATGCAAAACGGCGCCAGAAGTCGTGGTCATCACTCCACTCAAAGCCCTCGGCGCCAGAGGTGGCGCACTCCCAGTCGTCGCCGTCCAGGCTTTTCCCAAAGTTACGGATCTGCTTTGCCGACTTCCTTTCTGGGCTCGTCGAGGTCGTGGACCGTGGGGCGTGAGGTGAGCTCAACGAAGGGCACCAAGCTGCGCGAGGTCCAGCCAGCGGGGCCGCATCCACCAGTGGACGGTCGGTCAGGTCATGACCGCCACCGGGCTGCAGCCGTGGCACCAACGGCATGCGCAGCGGGGCGAGCGACAGGGAGAACGCGTGCAAAAGCGTGCTGCGGCCATTTTCGCAATGGCTTGAAGGCAAAAGATGCACCTAGGTCCACAAAAGCATACTTCACGAACGACGCTCAAGCTGGTTTCACATTATCAAATTATGCCGTCCAATTTTTTGAGCCCACCCCGTTTCTGCTTGCCCCAACAAGGATGGAGGAATGAATGAATGAAGGAATGGAAAGAACCATAGATCAAGAGGTTCTCTGCCGCCTGAAACTTTCTGAACCTCTACTGCCAGCTCCCAGCCATAGCCTGAAAGAAGTAGTTCAGGAAGAGCTGGTTGCAAACCTGGTCAGGGAAGACTGCACACAACTGTCTTAGGCCTCACGAGCTACACCAGCCACGCCAGCCACACCAGCCTCCTGAGAGGAATAGATTTTACACCCAGAAAAGGACACGATGAAGTCGCCAGGCTCGAAAGTTGTGTGTGTCAGCAAGGCCGACGAGACCAATGGTGGATATCCTTGCGATAGGAGCAACAACCAAAGGGCCTAATGTCAATGTGAATGCTGCGACCGGAACATCTGGTTTCGACCATTTGGCAGGCCCTGTAAAATCAAACAAACAACAACAAATCCGATGGCAAAAGACCTCAAAGGCTCTGCTCAATCCTTTCTTGGCTCAATTCTCTCCTGGAAAGGAACAACATATGTGGCCAAGTCTCCATTGATGGTCTTCTGTCCCAAAGCGCTCCAAGCGGTCGCATGGCCCTGCTCCAGGATCTGTGAATGCTCCGGGTCCTTTGCAGCTGCGAGTACCTCACCACGATCGATTGATCAAGTTCCCTTTAAGAAGAGAAACCAAGGTTGCGGCCGGCCTGCCATTGTGGGCAAGTGGCTCTTCCACTCTTGATACTTGTTCATCCCCATCGAATTCTATCTGAATGCAGCCTTTCAAAAGTCTCGAAAAAAACATCCAATGAACCCTGAAGGAAGCCTTCAAGCCAATCAAAGAGGGACGAACGCTAACTACTAACCGAAAGCCTGGCACTCGCAATCAAGGCCTAGGAACCCAACCTTTCTTGAATGCTCTGGTAATGAAACAGTGTTTGGCCTCGGTTTTGTGGGTTCTCCAAACTTTGACCGATGCGTCCAAGAACGAATTGGACTTGCCACGTTTCTGAGGCAAGTGGCAAACGGAAACTGCAGCAAGTACACCTTGGCAAAAAATCGCAGTCTTTAAGAGTGAATGTGCGCGAGAGACGACATGTGAGTGCTGCACAGTCAGGTCAAAAGTGTTCACCCGACGCCAATTTGGTTGGAAAAGGATCTCCTTCCTCTTTTTGGTTTCACAGGTTCAAACCAGTAAGATGTACACCTTGCAGGATTTATGACAGGCATGCTGACAGATTGGCCTTCTCTCTCTGCAGCTCTGCAGCCAAGTTGCCATAGCGGTTTGCTCCCACCATGGGTGTTGGGTTACCGGGCTACGTCCAAATGTCATCCATCTGACTTTCTGGAAGAAGGCCCTCGGGATGCACTTGGGATGCACTGAAGAACTTTGGATTGCATATTGCACTTGTAGGAATTGATCAACAATCCAGAGGGGTGGCGCAAGAACAGTTCAAACAAATGGAAAGTGAATCCTTCTAAGGTATGGGTCATATAGTGCCTCTATATATACATACATATAAGTATGATATATATATATATACATTTATGTATTCATGAGACAAAAGCCACCTGATCCAAAGCATGGTGGATGGATTGGTGCCAAACATGGCCCCACACCACTTTGTGGTTCAGGAGCACTACATCGTGTGTGAACGATGTGGCCAAAGACTTTTGAAGAACTCCTCAAAAGAGAAGCTGAGCTCTTCAGCATGGCAGAGTGCTGGAACGATCCATGGCCATTGCCGGAACAATGGACTGGACACCGGTCCCACAAGCTGTGGAGAAAAGGAGCCAAAGTGCATTGCACTGAGTGCATGGCATACGGCATCCACAAAGAAGGCCGCATAGCACCCAGCAAGCAGCTTTTGAAAGCATGTGGCAAGCAGACGCAAGGCACTTTGCCTCTCTGTTTTCGACCCAAGGAGGTCATCGACTAGCACAGAAAAGGAGTGCAGAAAAAAAATATGTATTCATGAGAACCTAAAGTAAACATCGGTATACATTGGAATGAGACCTCCAAAGACCCCGGCTCAAGGAAAAGGACATCGGCAAAAGAGTCTCCATATCCCAATACACCCACATAAATGTGGATCAAAAGTCTGCAACCCAAAACCCATGGTTTTGTTGAGGAGATTGCCACAAGTGCTCAGCCGAGCAAATAACCACATTCATGCCAGGGATCCAGGACCACACCGATGCTCTGGCCAGCCTTAGAGGTCTCTTGCAAGTCCAAACGAAAGAGCTCCTGATGCAGTGGTCGTCTTCACAAAAGGTGTGGTCACTGAGTTCACAAAGTCAGGCTAAGATCTTCACATGACGCCAGTGTTTAGCATCAGGCCATCTTCAGAAGCAACCAGTTGCACCCGCTTTTCTTTGAAAAGCCAGTCTGCCCAGCCTGACAAATAGATGCACCTCTTGCGCTGCTTTCTTGCCCATGCCGCTTCTCAAAGAAGGAGTCTGTGTGCAATACCTGCCTAGGCTACGATTGGACGGCGCGTCCACTGGCGTTTCAATAGAATCGCATCCCTTCTCGTCCCAAGAGATGTAGCTGTCCAGCAAGTTGTCGTACCACTCGAGCAGGTCATCAGGAGCCTTCACAAGATCAAAAGCAAGGCATGTCTCGTGTTACCTAAAGATCCTAAAACAATGCAAGTAGGCAAAGAGGCAGAAAGGAAAGAGCTAGTACAATGTCATCCAGCCTGTTGCGGGCCAGCTCGCCACTTGCTTACCAACTTTTCTAGGCGTTCCTGAGCTGAGAAAGCAGGGCTTTGACCAAGTGGCCAAGTTGAATAACGCTGGATTGACAAATCAGCTAGAATTCAAGGAGGCTTGGGTATGGCACAGTCATGTTATCGGGGAAAGTTGAATAAAAAAGTTTAGACAAATATGCATATATATATATATATGTATAAGCTGGACAGACTAACCACTGTGGTGCTGATCTTGAGCCTGTATTGAGAAAGCATTCATCACGCAAGCTTGAAGAAGATCCTCCAACTGACCCGCAAGCAATAGCAAAAGAAAGGTACAAACTCTACATGTCAGACACGCCACTCCCTCCGCAGCATCTGCTGGACACCTGCTCTCAGCAATGCTCAGGAGATCCTCCAATCGGACCTCACAAGAAGCTTCTTGGGTTCTTGAGGTATATTTTTTTGCACTCACGCACTTCAAAAAAGAAACATAGCTTTGCTCATGCTTTGCTCCGGCGCACAGGTCGTCTCCCTGGCCTCTGAGTCCATGAAAAAGGAATCGCAATCTAACCACATCACCTCGGGAAACAGTGTCGTCAAGATTGTCCAAGTCTCCCAAGTCACATGTGCCAGTGGAATAGGAAACAAACATCCAAGAGAAAAGAAAAATGCGCAGCAGCAGACGGCATCAAGGTTGTGGGTGACTGGAAGTCACCCAATGACTCATAGTGGTCGAGTTTCATCACCGTCATCCAAGCGGAATGTCGAACTGCTCCATTGAGCTCAGGTGCCCAATCGTGTTGGCCCTTTGCCAAGGTCTCCAGAAGCGCATCCACCTGGCCCAGAACATTGCACCTTGCTCTGAACCAGTGGTCACAAACATGGTGGGACTATGCCTCAGCAACATCTGGATCACCATGTTTGCCATGTCGCCCATGTCTCGACACCCGGCCTTGGACCACGCAGGCGGCCGGGTCTTCTCTGTGAGGTACGTAAGCCCATCCGTGAAGAGTGGGGCTTGGTCCTTCGTCAGAACCGATCCAAAGTGCAACCGATTGGGCTAGTAGAAGGGACAAAGCCCCTAGTAGCGTCCTTGCTCCTAGTAGCGATGCCAGGAGCCCCTAGTAGCGTCCTTGCTACTAGTAGCGATGCCAGGAGCCCCTAGTAGCGTCCTTGCTCCTGGTAGCGTCTACTGCAGTGTTTACGCATTCGGCATGGTGCGCATGCAGTAAACTCGCACATGTCTTCGGCGGCCCAGTCTCGTACATAATGATGTCGTACCCATGCAGTCTCGCATATGCATCCCCTTGGCACTTGGGGAAGGATTCACGACTGTTTCGACATGACTCTTATCAACTCTTAGATATCTGGTGTGGCTCACCTTCTGCTACCTTCTGCTGCAACATTCTCCACAGCTGTGGTGCTGTGGGTAAGAGTACAAAAGAAAGGACATGTCATGACACCAATCCATCGACCTGGCAACGTAGACTGCTGTGCCATGGAGGCAGGTCTAACAATCTAAGTGACCTGTGTGTGTGTGTGAGTCCAATTGCCTTTGAAAATCAGAGTCAGGTTGAGGCATGCCCCACAAAGTCATCGACACCTTGTATCTCAAATCCTTCCGTTGACTGCTTCCCGCCAGCTGGCTGTTAAGCTTTGACAGGCGTGCCAAAGGCGTCTGCGTTGGGTCGTAGTCACAAACAGTGACCTGAGCATGTCAAATGGAATTCAAGACGCAAGGCCTAGTTGATCTCCCGAAACTGAACCGAATCCTCTATCAGGGATGACAACCGCTCTGGGGCTACACGGGGAACCGCACATTCGGTGTTGAACCACAGAAACAAGTCTTGAAACCAGTACGTACAAGTACTGCGACAGCGGAACCAGCTTCTGGAACTTTCAGGCAATGGAGTCAGCTAAGCCAGGCGGCAATTGCAATCCGCTGAGAACCTCTGCGCGGAAACTGGGCTGCGGCAGCACGCGCAGGAAGGCCGCGCCAAGGCTCTGCTTGCAGCTCCTGCTGCTTCAGGAAAGCCATAGAGCCTGAGATCATTGACATCTGGTAGACCTGGCTTAGCTGTCTCCCTGCTTGGTGTTCTCTAAAGCCAGTCAAAGCCTAAAGGACCCAGAAAAGAGATACGCAAGCCTAGCAGCGGAGGATGCCCTCCATGTTTTGCTTCCAATTGATGGGCCATGGACTTTGATCTATGTAGTCCTCTCCTTTCATCTGGTAGTCGTAGGAGCCAAAGATTGCTGAAAGCTGACGGAACCTCAATTCCGCTACGCTCAAGACCATCGCTTTGGTTCCTCTCAATGAATGGTGTGAACTGGCAAGTCTATTTCTTAGGCACCCAAAGAAACTCTTGTCATGTGTGAGGCTTTGAGGCTTGGAAAGAAACCAGAAAAGCTCGAAACCCGTTGGCGCCTTGTTGCTAACGTGGGCAATTGCAGCTGCTCACAGCACTGGGCCGCCAGCGCCAGCGCCGACATCACCGCGGTGGCACAGCCGAAGGCCACCTCGGTGCCCGCCGAAGCCGTGGTCGCCAAAAGCTCCGCCAGGCCACGCAGCGCCACAGGGAAGTGATGGTTATTGAAGTGGCCGACCACTTCGCTGAGGGAACCGTGGAATTGCACCCAGCGCCTTAAATGTGTCAACATGAACCCTACGTACATGGTACTAAACTGGCATCTCGATGATTTTTTCTGTTTGTGGATCCCCAAACCCGGTGCTGCCTCTTGGGAATGAGAACTCAAAACCAAATCACGTCGCCTTCCATCGCCTTCAAATCAGTGCTCTGCCACAGCTGCTAAGGTGCTCTTCTCCACAAAAGTCCAAGCCAATCCACTGGCGCAAACCCGCCGGAAGCTGGGATTCCGCCACTGGGGGACCCTGGCTCTGTACCCTGGGCCCAGATGAGGGTCACTGACTCGAAGACGTGTGAAATATGCGCTGGAAAGGCCACCGAAGCATCACTTGAAGGAGTACTTTAAAAAAATATATATATATATAATACTGAAAAACTGCGGAATGGCTCAGGCAAAACGGACTTTCGCTCGAAGCGGACTCAAGGGCCCTGTGGCCAGTGAAGGTTAAACGGCGGCGGAGGCGACAGTCGGATCAGGGCTCATGAGCGTGTCTCTCGTTTCACATCCTTCAGGGGGTGCCTCATGATCCGGCTGTTTCCTCAGGGCGAACTTTGCCCTCGCCATGGTCTTGCGCAGCAGCGCTGAATTTCCAAGTCTCTTCGTCAGCGGGTCTGCAATCATGATGTAGAAGCAAGGATCAAAGATGCTCTCACTGTAGCCCAGGGAGATCAGCAATCGACGCACAGTCTTGCGCCAAACAGCTGGCGCGTTCACCAAACCATAGACAGCCGTGAGCACCTTGATGATGGCACTCTGAGGATAGCCAGGGGTGCCAGTCGGAGGCATGGTGGCAAACAAAGGTCCTTGCGACCTCTCATGAGGATCTGACTGTCCAAAGGCGCTGCTGACATCCATAATGCGCAGTCGAAAGTTCATGGAGGCCAGCACCTGCAAACAAAGCATCACAGTTGTAGGGGAAGGTGTAGGTGCGTAGCGCTCCAACTCCAAGGCGTCAGGATCTTTATGCCCAAGCAGCAGCCAACGAGCTTTGGCTTTCCAGCTTTCACCAACATCACCTGTCTTCTTGATGATGAGGAACTGCTCTCAGATCTGGTCACATTCTTTCTCATCCACCACGATCTCATTGGAGTTGATGAGGTTCTGGATCTCGAACAGTTTGGCATCGTTGAACATCTTCTTCTCATGCTCAGGCAGCTTTCGCTCATCTAGCTCTTCTCCACTCTGCTTGGTCAAGTAGGTGATGGGCTTGGCCAAGTCGTGCAGGAAGTAGAAAACAACAGCCTTCTCAACCTTGTTGAATAGGTTCAAGTCGCGTGCGTTGGCTGCAATGGTAGTCAGACTTGTTTCCCCATTCAGTCTTTTCATCCGCACGCCACATGGGAAAGAGCTTGCTCTTTGTAGCTGCCCGTGGATTCTGAGCAGGTTCATATAGGCTTCGTTTGAGGCTTTCATCAATGAGTCGAGCGTCTTCTGGAGGTTAACATCACGACTCTTCTTGTTGGGAGGTTCGGAGGTCTCCACCGTTGGCCATGGCTTTCCAAGATCAGGATGTCCAGGTCGCCGGCGGTAGATCAAGGTCGTCTCAATGGACCGGACTTCAGGAAGCTTCTTGTGCACCTTGTGGATGGTCATCTCAGGTGTCACTTCTTCATCAGCCACGACATTGTTGGTGTCCAAGTCAACGGTGATTTGCCTGAACACAACGCCCCAAAGAGGACCTTGGCTGTTGCTTCCTCTGCAGCGGTTGGCTTCGACATCATATCTTGTCCGTTGGCGAAGATCACCAGCTTCTCCACGGTCAACGTCTCCAGTGTCCTTGGATTTCTGGTTCCCCAAGGTTGCCTTCCAAAGCTCATCAGCATCATTCATTGGCTTGGAGGCAGAAGACGATGAGTGGATGGTGTCTCAGTGGTTGATCTTGTAGGTTCCACAGCTGCAGGAGCCGTAGGTTGTGGCTTGGCAGGTTGTGAGGTAGGCAGAGTTTCCCGCATCGGTGGAGTCGGCCTGGAAGGATGCAATGATGTAGTCCCCTTCTTGCCGGCGCGCTCCTCAATCACAATCGGCGGTTGGTCATCATCATCAACTGTTACGACAGGTCCTTTAGGTGGAGTCCTTGAACGCTCACGTCGCAAAGCTGAAGGTGCTGGAGTGCTAGGAGCTGGACCAGGTGTAGATGGCGCAGGCAAAGGTGTCTGCGGCGCTGCTGAAGGATTCGGATTTCTGGATCCTTCAAAGGTTACTCGAGGCGTCGGCGGGACTCGCCTGAAGATCTGGGATTCTTCAACTACAGGGTGTCCATCTTCGTTGACTTCAGGTTCACTTCACCCTCTTTGGACACATCAATGTAGCCCAGCTTTTCACTATCAAACCTCAATCTCTCCTTTGCCTTCAAGAGCTCTCGCGGGACCGATTCTAGCCCCTGCTTGTCCATGTTGCTCGTCTTGAAAATCTGGCTCTTGTTGCATTTCCACAATTCACTTCTGCGCGTCACCCACACGGTGTCGCCCTTCTGGAGGACAACCTAGCATGGTCCGACCTCTGCTTGATAGCCCCTCTTGCCCTGTCTCCAAACATAAACTGGTTCACCTTCTTCAAAATGAAGTTCCTCCCGGGCTCGTCGGGGTCTGGCGCGGATAGCGCAATTCAATCGGTCACGGCCATCAATTTCAACCAAGGCCCGTCGCGCAGCAAGTCGGATGGCTTTGGACCTTTTCCAGCTTCATAACCTGCTTGCCATCGCTGAGCAATTCCATAGCCAGACTTGGCTGTCGACCAAATACCCTCTGGGCAGGTGAGTAGCCCGATCGATTGGTGAGGGTCTGTATACAGCCCAGCTGCATTCATGAACAATGTCCCGGACTTCTTGAAGATCAGCAGGTTGATGAAGTTCTCTGGTCTTGTAGTAGAGCTCTTTGAAAAGTCCACCACGTCGTTCACATACACCATTTTGATATGGCGCATTGCGGTCAATTAGGATCGGCTGCACTCCATGGTTCTCCAGGCCATTAATGAAGTGGCCTGCAAATTCAAATTCTTGATCAAGGATCATAAAGGAAGGTGCACCAAAAACACGCTACCAACATTGCAGAAATGTAGACCAAACCAAGGCAGAGGATCTGCGGTTGGCGTGCACCAAGGAAAAGGTGGAGTACAGTGTTCCAACACACGTGCATTCAGGATGGGATGCTCTTCAAGAGGTGAGGCTCCAGCCACAAACAGGAGGTCAATGCCAATGACCACGTTGAAGTCATAGCAGCGAGGAGTTGACGCTGGCAGTCGCGTCGGTTGTCTTGTCTCCTTCACGCAGCCCGCACGTTCGAACTCCTTGAGGATATAGTCAATGACATCATTGCGGGCGCCAGCTGCTTTCAAGAGCCTGACAAACTCTTTCACCCTCGGGCGTCCCAAGTTCACGTGTGCACGGAGCACCATCATCTTCTCATTGTGCGAGATCTTGCTCTTTGGTGCGTCTTCTGCAAAAACATGTTGAGGAAGTGCTTGACGTTGATAGCAGCACACCACAAAAGCGTAGTTGGCTTCCAGCGAAGGTGGCTTACCACTTCGCGCGCGTTCAAGCTCAAGCCATTTGCCATCATATGGGTTCTTGCACCACGTCCAGCGAAGGTGACGGTGTCCAGGAAAATGTGGCGGAATCTTTGTGGGCTTGTGCATCACGAGCACTGCCATTCCATGAAAGTCACGCCAATGAAAAGGCTGGCGTCCAAGTTCATCACATCACTGCTCCAAGTCACCAAGGTCAGGCAATTTGGATGGACGGCCGGCCTTGTTGTTGATCAAGCCATTCTTGTGGAAGACCGTCAATAATAGCCTTGACCAGTGCTAGAGGGTATGTCTGAGCTTCACGAGGAAGGCCACTTTCAAGTCGTTGATGTGGTTCATTGCAACGGCATAGGCGTTGAAGTTCTGCAGCTGTCTGGCCACAGGTGCCTGCAAACAGTGTTGCCTTGCGATTCAGCCTTTCTCGCGCGCGCAGTCCAAATCTGCACAAGTGGCTCTTGACAAGGATCACCTCGTCGTGGGCGAGGTAGTGTTGAACCTTTGGAAGCATCCGTCAGGATGTTCATGTAGTCCACGTCCTCGTCGTTGTAGTTGATCTTCCAAGAGGTCCACGCTGAAGTCAACATGAGCCACTCCTTCATCCCATTCATCAGCAAGTCTCTCCGGATAGGCTCTGAGGTTCTCAAAAAGGTGAAAATTTTGTGCACGGAGGAGATGCGATAAGCAGCTTTGGTCTTCGCTCTGCCAACAACTTGCGGATATAGCCCTTGCTGTGCTGTTGGTTCAAATCATAGCCAGTGGTCAAGTCAAATGAAAGCTCTGCTTTGAGACCACGCGCAGCAGCAGATTGGCAAATTCGCGGAGGGCTGTAGACCTCAACCACGTCATCATTTACAGAGGAGCCATAGATCTCCGCGATGTCGTCGGTCTCCTCTGCCCATTGTGCACAATAGGCAGCAAGATCACCGAGCTGCTTGCTCAAGGAAGTTGAAAGCTCTCTCTTGTCAGTCTTGGACAAGGCGACCTCACTTTCGAATTCAGCTTCATTCAGGTAGTCCACAAAGTCCTGGTCGAACTCGTAGAGCGCCACATGGTCCACCTTGTCAGGGCCCAAGTAGTAGTCTTCACTTGGTGTCTCAGTGACGCTGACAGCGTTCCAAGGCTCATCTTCGCACTGTGTCAAAATGACACGTCGGCTAATGGTCGGCCTTGTCGAGACGGTTGCAATGCCCTGAACATGATCACCATGTCATCCATGTTGCATGGCTACATAGGTGGAATTGAAGTTCACCTTGAGGGACTCGAGCAAGTTCACGCAGGTCTCTCCAAAGTCATAGCGCTTACCCATAGAGCTCAACCAGAAGGCTGAAGCAGACGAAGGTTCAAGTTCGTCTGGGAGTAAAGCAGGGGGATCTCGAACATGTACATCGCCATGTTGCACTGGTCTCCCCTGCATTGAACTTCTGCGTTGCTCTCCGGGTCGTCCATGGGTACCCCGATGGGTTGCATTGGCATCTTCTGGCATTGAGGGCATAGCAAGACTCCCAGCGCTGGTCTCGTCTTGCCCGTTGTTGCCATGGTCTATCATAGCCTCGACTCATGCGAGACTGCTGCAGCATGCGGCGGTGCTCCAAGTAGCTGCCTTTTCCACCACCAAAGCCTTGCCCATAGGTTCTGGCTGAACCTTTGCCTTTGCCCTTTTCGCCTTTGCCCTTGCCCTTCTGGAAGGCAAGTCGATCGCGGGTCTCGAGGAGGATCTCTTCGATGTTGTTGCCGATGGTGTCCAAAGCTTCAGTCTCATCCATCACCATGGGCAACTCCTGATGAAACACCATCTGCGCTTCCCAGGAATCATTCAAGCGCGCGAGGTCTGCGAAGAGGTCGTCCTCCTCATAGTTGTCACTGCCAGGCATGGCATAAGCTTCAAACTCATCTCCATTCTCCCAAGGCTCATCTTCAAAGCCTTCTTCATCCCAAAAGGTCGCACTTCTCCAGCGGCGGGGCGCATGTCCATGACCATGTTGATCACCTTGGTCATCAAGCTTATCACCAAAGACCTTTTGGATGGCAATCTCAATCTCCTTGTAATCGATGGAACCGTTCGCGACAATTTTGAGGCGCTGCCGTTGTCCTGAGTGAATGAGCCTTGCCTCAGGATCAAATGTCCAAGCAAATGACGGCCGGCTGCCGTATCCAGCAAATCCAAGCCCGCTTCTTGAGCTTGGCAAAGGCAGCTTTCTTTCCAGTCAGGATCGAGGTCATGCTGGTTCCTCGATCTCGACGTCCTTTGAAGATGGCATCATCGAAGGCCTGCTCAAGGCTTTGATCTCGAAGGTATTCGAGAGCTTCTTCGATGATCTTCACGATCGTGCGGTGACCATCATCCGCACAGATCTCATCCACCGTTTGGTGGCCGAGCAATGCGCTGCGCTTTGAGCCGGGCGGCACGGAGTCGATGCGCTTGCCAATGAGGTTGGCGGGAATCCTGGCTTCGGCTTCAACCATCCACAAACGAAGCTCGTGATGGTAGTCTTTGTAGTTTTTCTCAGGAAGCTCTCCTCCCCAAACAGGTGCAGGGTCCATGCGATAGTCGACATGACGACGTTCTGAGGGCTGAGCTTTTTCACTTGCCGCCTTAGCCATGCCAGTTGCCTTTGGGCTACTTCTTCTTGAAGTCCTCTTCCATGGATCCTCATCCGCGAAAGGATCAGGCAGCTCAGGTAGGTCAGGTAGTCCAACATCATGTAGCGGAAGGCCTTCAGAAGGTCGTTCATGTTCATGACCAGCGTCTGGCGTAGTCGCCCGCGCAGGAGCCGCAGCAGCCGCTCGCTGAGGAGGTAGCCGGAGGTGTCGACGATGTAGTCTGGCCTGTCCAGGTCCGCGGTGGTCGCGGCTGGGCCATTGGCAGCCCAAACTTCTACCAAGGGAGGTAGGCCAAGAAGAAGATCACCTTGAAGGTGATGAGGTCGTATACCTGAAGAAAGGAAGAAATCCTGAGTCCGGTTGACTCGTCCACAGGCAAACTTGTAGCCGAAGGTGAAGAGGGCCTTCGCAAAGAGGTCAAAGAAGCCTTCACAGGTGCCGGGGCGTCCCCGGCTGGAAGGAGTCAACCGGAGCCAGGATCGTCACCCTGGCTCCGCTACCACTGAAGAACTGCGGAATGGCGCAGGCAAAACGGACTTTCGCTCGAAGCGGACTCAAGGGCCCTGTGGCCAGTGAAGGTTAAACGGCGGCGGAGGCGACAGTCGGATCAGGGCTCATGAGCGTGTCTCTCGTTTCACAAGCATTATTTTGAGTTAGTAGTAGCAATGGCCTCCAACCTACTAGCGATGGCCTCCAATCTGGCCAACCTAAGAGAAATTTCTGGCTTGATTTTGTTGCTTTGTTTGAAAGGCCAACAAGTCTGTAGTTGGAAAGAAGAGGCTGCTCCAGGTTGCGAAGCATTATGGACTGGTTTTTGCTTTTGAGGCACAGTATACTAAAATCCGCCGACCCCGGCCTATAGCCAAAGCCTAGGCGGGGAGGCGCCTGGGACACCGCAGGGTGAAGCAGTTGGCCAAGCCTAGCAGAACCCTTCCAAGCACTTCCAAAGGCCTGTCCGAGGCCTCGCCAGCTGGCAGGCCTGCTGCGGCCTCTC